AGAAACTCCAACCAACATAGCAGAATATGCATCCTTATTAAGTATACATGGAACATTTAGCAAACTAGACCATGTCCTAGTGCATAAAACAAGTCTCAAGTTTAAAAGGATTCAAACAATAAAAAAGTACATTCTCTGACCACAATGGAATTAAATTAGAAATCAATAACAGGACAATTTCTGGAAAGTCCTCAAACATTTGGCAACTAAACAACACATCTCTAAATAATCACAGGGCAATTAGAAAGTATTTCTAACTGAATAAAATTAATACATGACATCAAAATGTTTGGGATGCAACTAGAGCAGCACCTGAAGGGAAATTCATAGCATTAAACAGTTATGATGGAAAAGAAAAAAGGTCTTAAGTCAAATGACCTAAGCTTCCACCTTAAGAAACTACAACAGAGCACACTAAATTCAAAGTAAGCAGGCGAAAGGGAATAATAAAAATAGTAATGAACATCAATAAAACAGAAAATAACAATGAAACCAAGAGCTAGTTCTTTGAGAAGATAAGTCAGATGAACAAACCTCTAGCCAGATTAATCAGGAGAAAAAGAGAGGAGACACAAATTAACATCAGGAATAAGAGAAATAAAATCACTACAGACCCTCAAGAAATTAAAAAGATAATAAGAAAACATTATGAACAATTTTATGCCAATACATTCAACAACTAAGACAAATTCCTTGCAAGACACAAACTAGCAAAGGTCCCCGATGAAAAAATAGATAACCTGAATAGGCCTATATCTATTAAAAAGATTAAATATGTAGTTAAAAACCTAACCATGAGAAAACTCCAAGGCCCAGATGGCATCACTGATGAAATTTACCAAACATTTAAGAAAGAAATAACACCAATTCTACACAACCTCTTCCAGGAAACACAAGAGAATACAGTAGTCTCTCTTTACCTGAGATTTCTCATTCCATAGTTTCAGTTACCCTCAGTCAACCATGGTCCAAAAATATTAAATGGAAAATTCCAGAAATAAACAATTTAAGTTTTAAACTGCAGGCCATTCTGAGCAGTATGATGAAATCGTGCGACATCCCACTCCGTCCCACCCAGGACATGAATCACCCCTTTGTCCAGCATATCCACGCTGCATAAGCTACCTGCCCGTTAGTCACTTATGACATAGTCTTCTCAGTTATCAGATCAACTGTGGAGGTATCGCAGAGCTTGTTTAAAGTAACCCTTATTTTACGTAATAATGGTCCCAAAGCGCAAAAGGAGTGATGTTGGCAATTCAGATATGCCAGAGAGAAGCTATTGTTGTGAATCTCTTACTGTGTCTAATTTACAAATTAAACTTTATCACAGGTTAAGTATGAATAGGAAAAAACATAGCATATACAGGGTTCAGTACTATCAGTGGTTTCAGACATCTGCTGAAGGTCTTGGAATGTATCCCTTGCAGGTAAGGAGGGACTACTGCAAAACACATCCAAACATATTCCCTGATACCACCATTATTCTGATGCCAAAACCAGATAAAGGCATTATAAGAAAAGAAACTACAGAATAATATCCCTCATGAATATAAAATTTTAAAAATTTTCGCAAATCCAATGATATATGTAAAAGATAATACATCATGACCAAGTGGGGCTCATCTCAGAAACGCAAGTTTGGCTTAACATTCAAGAACACTCAACATGGTAAAGGGCGTCTATAAAAAATCTACAGCCGACACAATACTTAAAAGCGAAAAACTACTTTTCCTCTCAGGTCAAGAAAGTGACATTGATATCTACTCTCACTATATCTATTCAACACTGTAATGGAGGTACTGGCCAGTGCATTACAGCAAGAAAAAAAAAATAACATGCAGACTGGAAATGAAGAACTAGAATTTTCCTTATTGACAGATCATATGATTGTCTCTATATAAAATCTTACGGAATCTTTTTTAAAAAAACACTATTAAAATTAATAAGTGAGTTTAGTAAGGTTGCAAGACACAAGATCAACATCCAAAAATCAATTGTATTTCCATATGCTAGCAATAAACAATCAGAAACTGCAATTCAAAAAATATTACCACATTACCACTTATAACAGCTTTCAAAAATACAAAATACGGATAAATCTGATTAAAAATGTACACATTATACTTGTATATTGAAAACTAAACAATATTGCTAAGAAAAATTAAAGATAATCTAAATAAATGGAGACGTATACCATGTTTGTGGGTCAGAAGACAACATTGTTTAGATGTCAATTCATCTCAAATTGATTTATGGATTCAACGCAACCCCAATCAAAGTCCCAGGAAGCTTTTTTTGTAGAAGTTGACAAATAGAATCCAAAATTCATTTGGAGATGCAAAGGACCAAGAACAGCCAAAAAAACTTTGAAAACGTAGTTGTTCGAGGACTTACCTGACTTCAAAACTTTTACATATATAGTAATCAAGACAATGTGTTATGGTGTCAAGACAGAGAGTGGATCAGTGTAACAGAATATAGAGTCCAGAAATAGATACATATATATATGGCCAATTGATTTTTGATAAAGTTGCAAAGACAATTTAGCGGAGAAAGGACTATCTTTTGAACAAATAGTGCTGGAACAATTGGATATGCATATTGAAAAACATGAACATCGATCCATTCTTCACACAACAAATAAAAATTAACTCAAAATAGACCATGGACCTAAATATAAAAGCTAAAACTACAAAACTTCTAGAAGAAAATATAAAGAAAATCTTTGTGACCTCTAGTTAGGCAAAGATTTCTTAATAGAACACATAAAGCACAATTGATAAAAAGAAAAAATAATGAAGAGGAATTCTTCAAAACTAAAAACGTACTTTTCAAAAGACAGTGTAAAAAGAATATTTTCTCCAGACTGGGAGATAATATTTGTAAATTACATATCTGATAATGGACTTCTGTTCAGAATATATAAAGAACTCTCAATACTCGACAATAAGAAAACTACCCAATTTTAAATCAGACAAAAGATATGAACAGGCAAAGCAAATATATAGATGCAAATAACCATATGGAAAGATGTTCAATATCATTATTCATTAGGGGAGTGCAAATTAAAACTACAGTAAGATACAACTATACTACACACCTATTAGAATGGCTAAAATTGAAAAGACTGAGCACATCAACTATTAGGGGAGATATGGAGCCAATGGGTCTTTAATTCCTTGCTAGTGGGAATGTAAAAATACCACAATTCCTTTGGGAATCAGTTTAGCAGTATCTTAAAATTAAGTGCACACACTACAGGACCAAGACATTTTACTCCTAGGTATTTACCTAAGACAAATGAAAACATGTCCTTACAAAGACTTGTTTACAAATGTTCATAGCAGCTTAATCTGTGATGGCCAAAAATGGCAAACAACCCAAAAGTCCTTCGAGGTGAATGGAGAAACAAATTGTCGTACATCCATACAACGGAATACTACTCAGCAATAAAAACTAACTATCGATATATGCATCAACATGGAATAATGCTGAAATAATTGTGCTGAGTGAAAGAAGCCAGGCAATATAACAATAGATACTGTATAAATCCACTTATATGACATTCTAGAAAATATAAACTAATCTATAGTAGACAGAAAGCATATCAGTGATTGCCTGGGGTGGAGGGAATGAAGGACAGGAAGGGGTGGAAGGAAGTGACTTCAAAGGAGCACTAGGAAACTTTAGGGGGTCATGAATATGTTCATTACCTTAATCGTGGTGATAGTTTCATGGGTGTATACAAATGTCAAAAGGCATCAAATTGTACATCAAATATTTACAATTTACTGTTTATCAACTATATCTCAATAAAGCTGGGAAAGCCGAGAGAAAGACAGAAAACTACCAACAACATAAAAGATAGGCATCTAATTCTGGACACCTGGAGCCTCTGAATTTCTGTCTTGGTCCTCTCTCTCGCTGTCCAGGTGCCAGTGCTGGGTATTCATCCACACCCTACTTTCATTAAGTGCAAAAGTGACAGGAAAGCTTTCTGTGGGGAATGAATTATGGACTTGGAAAAGGAGAAAAATGAGAGCACACAGAACGTTCATTCTGTAACTTAAAACTCCTTGGCTTAACAAACACCTCTAGGCAGCAAGATATAAGGAGACTTTCCTTTGGTTTCTTTAAATTTTTCTGCACTTTCCAAATTCTTTACAAGCATTATTTTGCTCTTTGGGAGGGGGGAGGAAACCATTTTAAAAGAACCAGTTTAAATTCTCCATTAAGTAAAGAACTATGCAAAAAGAAACCAAGGGGTTATCATCCTGATAATTAATGACTAGGACCTGAACATACACACAAATCTGAGCAGTAATGTAGATCAAAAAACAGGGAGATTTCATTTATAAAGGATGAAGGATATTTACAATAGATGTACAAGGTCAAAACGTCAAAAAACAGGTATGTTCTAAATTCTGAATTTCGCTTGTCAACCACTGAGTTGGCTTTCACCTAATTAAAGACATAATATGTTTTAACTGATTTCCTGCCCCTTAGATTGAAAACTGAGCTCTCACATGCCAAAGGGAAAGTCCTGGATGAATTTCCAGGAGGTTGGGGGCAGTAACAAGAGGTTCCTCTCCACTAAGGCTTACAAGCCTGTAAGTGAATCAAGCCTCACAACCCAGGATGGATGCCAGCAGAGGCAGGATTTCTTAACCCTGTTTGTCCCAAGCTGGCGGCGGCAGACATTTACGTCACCTTTTTTAGCAAGTGTAGAAAGCCAGCAGGGGGTTCAGAAATGCCAAATGCTGATAAAATATGTTTCTTTTTAAATAACTTCACAGGTCAAATTAGGTACAAAATGCTTTTTATGCAACCTGAATACAAATCTTAAGAGTCTTCCTATGTGGTTTTTAGAAGAATAAACCAACTTCTTAGTGACCATAGAACTCTTGGCTTAATTCTTCACTTTCATTTCAGAGAAAAAACATGCAAGTAGGTTAGCATACCACAACACTACACACATAACGTAACAGAACACTTACATGTCTTGGAGTGTTCGTGTGATAGCATGTAATTGGCGAGAGGAGGTGTGTAAGTTAAACACTGCAATGCTGCGTTGGCAAAACAGGTATTGCCCAAATTCTGGAGCCCAGCTCCAACTCTGTGAGTTTGTTGCCACTTAAGACAAATCTTCTCAGATGGGAAAAGAACTTTTTGAGGAGGAGCAATGCCATCACCTAGGGCTAGAAAAATGAACAACAAATATTTAAAAACAAAGCTTTGCAGGCCTCTGAAGCTAAATAAATGGCAACACATCAAACTTGAATCTGATCAAGATTCTAAATCTAATTATTGGCTAACCAGAAATACAGGGGAGAAAGGGACATTTTAAAAGACAGAAGCCAGGATGTGGGAAACTCTGAATGATTTAGTTTCTTCAATAAATAAATTGCAAGGACAAAAAGGATGAGGAATTACAGATTAAAAGAAACTTAGGGCCAGCCCCGTGGCATAGTGGTTAAGTTTGGCACATTCCACTTCGGTGGCCTGGGTTCACAGGTTTGGATCCTGGGCGCAGACCTACACCACTCGTCAGCCATGCTGTGGTGGTGACCCACATACAAAAGAGAGGAAGATTGGCACAGATGTTAGCTCAGGGCTAACCTTCCACAGCAAAAAAAGAAAAAAAGAAACTTAAAAGACATCCACCAAATGCAAAGTGTAGACTTTGTTTGGATGTTGATTTCAACAGCCACCTGTTAAAAAAAAAATTATAGGACAACCAGGGAAATTTGAACATTCACTAGATTTTTAATATAAAGATGTTTTGATTTTTAGAAAAGAATTCTTCAGATATATGCACTAAAATATTTATAAATAAAATATGAAGTCTTGGATTTGCTTTAAAATGATGGGAGAGGGAAAGGAGTATGTGGGTGGAGGTATAATTGGCCATGAGTTGATACATGTCAAAGTTGACTGATGGGTACATGCGAGTTCATTATTATTACTCTTTTATATGTACTTAACATTTTTCATAATAGAAAGCTTTAAAAATAAATAAACAACACAATCAATAAAAAGTGCAGGATATGTCAATTCTCTATAGCATTTGCTATGGATGCTTATATTCAGTACCACCACCATCACTGTCATCTTCATCATCATCTCACTTACTGAGTCCTTACCAGCTGTCAGATAGATAGTCTCAATGCTGAGAGTTGGTAATGACACCTCCTCATTTTACCAGGAAGGAAACAGGCTCTGTATTTAGGCTGTTGGGCATCACTATACACACTCATAAGTGTATTATACATGGTCTAAAAAGATTTTCACCTTTTTTTTTTTTTTTGCAGGGAAGATTTGCCCTGAGCTAACATTCGTTGCCAATCTTCCTCTTGCCCCAGTGCTTAGTTGTATATTCTAGCTGTAAGTCCTTCTAGTTCTTCTACGTGAGCCACTGCTGCAGCATGGCAACTGACAGACGAATGGTGTAGTTCTGAGACCGGGAAGCAAACCCAGGCTGCCAAAGTGGTGAGAGCACTGAACTTTAACCACCAGGCCCTCAGGGCTGGCTTGATTTTTATCTATTTTTAAGACTTATAAACAAATTACTAATGAGAATTATACTAACAGAACTCAGGTGAAGCTCAAAAAACAACTTATTTCGGAAAGTTCAAAATTACCCACAACAAGACTACTTTTTCAAAAGTGCCAGGTCCTCAGTGCTACCGAAGATCAAGACGCCCAGAGGATGGTTCTGTATTTTAATAGAGATATTAATGAGTACTTAAATATGTAAGGCTAGGCTTCAGCTTGATGGGGAATGGAGAGCAAAATTAGGGAAAGAGAAATGAGTCTGTAGAGTGGGACAAAGGCCCCGAAAAGGGAAAGGCGGGGCACTGTGAGCTAAATCCTGAGGGAGAGAGGAGCCCAGCAAGGTGACAGGAGGCTAGAGTCTGTGAGAAGACGTCCGGTGGGAAAGTCTTGATGGTGAAGGTCTTTAAACCTCTATGCATAACATTCAACATTCAGTTAAACTATTTGTTTTGTGATATAAACCCCCCCCTTCAGCAATTCACACCACCCACTCCCACATCACAACATCACACTGATTAAGAGGACTCAGAACAATAAAAGGGCCAAATTATTCTAAGCCAAACAATGTTCTGAGTAGGAACTAATCAATTTTCTTTTCATTTCAAAGTTTCCAAATCCAAAAGTCTTAGAAGTACCAACTATAGTGTCAATGTCTTATTTATCTGGATGAGTTTTAACAAATGTAACTACATTTACATAGTTTCAACAAATGTAACATTTACATTATCTGTTTTCTTTCAAAGAGCTTTATTACTACAGATGATTTTAACTGGCAAAAAAAAATCACCCAAAACAGTTGGGTTGAGCCCATTTGTCAAAGGCAACCATTTTTAAAAACATCTTCACATTCTTAAGACAGATATCTATTTAGTGAACTATAGTTAACTGACAAGTTAACGAAATGCTTGCCCATCTCAATTCTCACCAAGATAAAGTTTATCCTTCAAAAAAATTAGGAATAAAAGAAACTACAAATACCACAGTAACTAAAAATAATCTACCCTGTTATGATACATATGTTAATCATGAACAAGCAGCAACGGAAAATGAAGCCCATCAAATGACGTAACTCTGCTGGCCATTCAGGTGGCAATATGCCTTGCAAACTAAGCCCCTGTCTGAAAACTACCAACCCATTGACAACATTTATACAGGAGTTTCTTGGGGTGACTCTTAAAAAGTAGTACCTTGGTCCTTTTGTGGTGAAGGTTTTGATTTATCAGGTACAGATGAACTTGAATAAACTACAGCACCAGGTACTGGTCCTAAAGAAAGCGTGTGATTTGAAACATCATTTAAGGAAGACACAGCACCCCAGCTGGCAGAACCTGCATCCATGTCTCCAGGTGAGACCGCCTCAGAACTGCCAGGCTGATTCTGATACGCTGATGGGTCTGAAGATTCAGAAGCTTTGTCAACTATGGTCATTGTTCAATTCTGCAAAAGACGAAAAGCATACATTCAGTTCATAAGGTGGGAAAAGTAGTCCACTTATTCTACCATTAGATCCTGGAAAGTTATCTTAGCCATTTTTAATTATTCAAACAAATCACCCAAACAGAAAATCAACAGTATTTTTTAACCTTGTAATCATTTCCTTGGGACATTTAGCATTGTACTAATCTGAAGGTGTCAACAATTTTTAATCATAAAATCTTCAATGAAGTATCTGATTAGATCTTTTCATTCTATTCCATACCCCCTAAAAGTCTGATATTTCAGTTTATAATCAGGTACCTCAATTTCCAATTCTATGCATTTACCAAGTACCTGTATTTTTTCTTTCTATTGCTTAAAACTAGAACACGAAATGCACTAATACATTTGACTCAATTTTCAACTGATATATTAAGTCCTCACGGAAAAGTTGCAAATACATGAAGAGAAAAATCTAGCTTTAATTTTGAGCTTGAAGTCCAAAATGACATTATTTGAAATACGTCTTTTAAAATATAGGAAGTCTCACCTTTGAAACACATTTTCCTGAAAAGGCTCATTTATTACTTAAATGAAGCCCATAAGACATTACTGACATTGAACTTGAACACAAATACACGTTATAAAAGTACTTAATAATTTACTCTCTGAATCCTATTTTAAAATCTTACGGTTACCACTAATTGAGCATTTTCTATGTGCTGAGCATTGTGTTAATCACAGAACATACACGAACTTACTCAATTTTCATAATGGATCTGTAAGAGATTGGACAGAATCCACAAGGTCTATAAAATGGAGCAACTATAACCCAAACTAGTCAGCAACTGGGACTAAGTACCACGTACAACATTCCCGGCAGGGGTTCCTTCTGGCTACACTAACCTAGCCAACAGACTACTTTCAGGAATGTTTCCAAAATGGCCCACTGGCAACCACACGTAGTATGCTACCCCTCTGCAGATACCTTTCAGGTATGCCCCTGGCTGCCCCCAGCACAACATCCTAACACCTTGACTTGACAGTGCCTGACCTGGGAACCTCTTCACACATTTCCTGTGTTCCACTCCCACCTGCTCTCTCTGGACTCTGCACATGCTGTTCTTTTTTACCTAACTCTCTTCCATCCTTCCATCTCTGGCCAGTTAACGCTTCCACTTCTCAGTTTAGAATTCATCTTTTCTGAGACGCTTTCCTTGACACCCCCTCCCACCAAGATAGGGTTAGAACCCCTCCTAGAAGCTCCCCTGGCACCCTTGTGCTAATTTCTATAGTAGCACTGCGCACCTACTCCACAGCAGTTTTACTTGCTGCTCTCCATCATGTTCTTATTTATATCTCCAGACCTGGCATAGGGAAAGCTTTCCATACATGTGTTGAACAAATGAATGAATCTTGGAGATAGGAAGCAACTCGTGTTTGCTTTTAGCACCAGCTTGTGCTGAGTGATTTATACGCAGTATCTCATTTAATCCTCAAAAAACTCTGCAGTAGGAATAACCTTTAAAATTTGTTTTAAAAAAAATGCAATACTGTAAAGTAAAAGGATAATAAACACCCACATACACGCCACCTTGACAAATGTTATGATGCACTGTCTGCTCACAATAAGGCTTTTTTTAAGTCTGAATTTTGTTGTAATTTGAAATTAAGACATGCTTATCACCCCCCAAAAAGTATAACCTTAAGAAATTTTTTGGACTCTTAAGTATAAATGGAAAAGTAGGTGTTAATTAGCTCTTAATAAAATAAGAAAAACTTAATTGAAATTTTAAATCAGCCTAAGACATAGGACCTTCATTCAGGAAGAAAGATTGAACCTTATTATCCAAATAAAGTTTACACTTTCCTCATCTAACAGTCAAAAGAAATTATGCAACAGTGTGGAGGCAAGAGCAAGAAAACAAAAGAGCAGGAGGAAGGAGGAGGAGGAAAAGCAAGAAGAAGAAAGCCAAAGTAGAGTAATAAGGAAAAGGTAATCTAGCCTGATTTACAATAACATTAAATAGCAAAAACCTTGATTTTCCTGGGATAAACATCCCTTGAGGACAATCATTAACAAATAGCCAAATAAAACCATTTTATTTGCACCAATTGCCCTTTTGTTTGGGGGGGGTGCTTCTTAAATGAAAAAAATTAAGGAAAACATACAACCAGTCATCAATAACCATATAGCATTATAATTTTGTGAAAACAAACCAAAACCATGCATTGTCTTCATTTGTATGAATTCTTACCCTAAAACCATCAGGTATCAAACTAAATTCCATCTGCTACAGAGACAAAACCTTTCTAGAAAACAGTATTGTGTAGGACTTGGGATTCATACGGTTACAGGTTCTTTCCTCAGTAAAGCTTCTAAACATTAATATTATAACTCTCAGGACTTTTAAGCAACTACTTCAATGAAAAGTTAAAATTTCTCTCAACATCTGATGAAGATACACAAAAAGTTACAAAAGCATGTTTGAAAAAAACCGAGTACATGAATCAAGGCTGGATGTGTCTAGAGGAATGAGACAAATTGACTTCACAAGTGTTTCCTTTGCTTTAAGTACAATCTTTTATTCAAAAGTCTTAAAATTCTCAGTCCCTTATACGTTATTTCTCCCTTGGTACTTCTACCAAATGCAAGAATGCATTATTCTTTTTTCATTTTTAAAAAGTATATCGCTATTCCAACACTGTGGCAGTCCACATACATTGAGGTAATAGTATCAATACCTGTAAAAAGAAACTGTTACACTCTTCTTCTTCATAAACAATGTAACCCACATTCCTGTAGCATTTCTATTTAAAGAGAAAAACACACAAGCTTTAACAAGACACAACCTTGATTTTAATTATTTTTAAGTAAACAAAACGACTAGCCTTAAACCTTTATAAATCAGACACGGTAGACTTAATTCAATGACATAAAAAAAGAAAGTGAAACTGACCCTAAATAAAAACAATTAAGTGAAACTGATTATTCATACTTTCTGTGCATTTTGAGTAATAGTCAAAAGAGTAGAATTATGTTTAAAATATACAAGTCCTAAAATTTTTTGAGACGCTACAAAAATGTACGTACCGTCGTTACCTTGAAAAAGAGGCGTTAACTAAATAGTTTTTCAACTAGTTTTATTGTTATTTGTTATTTGAGTTATTTACTTTAAATGACCCACATGTTTTCCCATAAACAAGTAAGCCCTAAGGCCTCCCTGAATATAAAAGAGCTATTCAACAAAAGTAATCTCAACTGCATTCATTATAGCGAGGTTAAAGTCCCAGATTGTAAAACTTCTGTCCCGTCAAATTTTCATTTCAAACCGATCTCCCTCTCCCCCTAACCCCCTCCAGGTAAGTTAGCTCTTCCTGCCCGAAGCATAAAGACCGCGACCGGGGCACACACGCTTTTGGGGACGCGCCGCGGGGGCCGGCCCTCCCCTCTCCTCCTCGCGAGGGTGCCCGCTCCGCCCGGCGGCCGGCGTGGGGAACTCGGACACTCGGCGGACGAGCCAGGTGGACGGCCCCGCGCGGGCTGACCGGCGCGGCGGGTGGGCCGCGGAGGGACGCCCGGGTGGGAAAGTTTGTCTCTTTAGGGGGTGGAGCGGGGGCGGGGAGGCGAG